GGGGGGGGGGGGGGGGGGGGGGAGGGGTTCGAGTGTTAACGAAATTCTATGGCTAATGGTATAATTTGAAGGCAGAAATACATCTGATGCCCCTAGCTTTGTCAGGGAATTCCTGTCTTGTTTTCCATGCAGATGACCGAGGAGCTGCGGGCTTCTTTCATCGCTCAAGCCAAAGTTGCAACAGAGGAAGTCGGTTTCGTTCTCGCCTCATATCTGAAGTGCCTGCCATCTTGAAGTGCAGTATCTCTCTGTTCTGCCGTTACTTCATGCAGCTGCTGGCCGCTGCTAATGCGGTCTCTCAATTCTAATTCTGTCGTCGTTCCCGATAGCACTCTTAATCGAGTACTAGCCCGTGTTGCTGCTCAACTGTTTGCTGCTGCAGTGTAAGGTACAGATCCGTCGAGTTCGCCAAGACGCCAGAGCCAAACATCGTTCTCTTTTTAAAGATAGCCGCGCAAGTGAAGTCACCAGAAAGAACGAGGAACAGCGGCTCCAGCAAATCACAGACGATGCTATTAAACAGGCGACGCAATTCCTAGCTGATAAGGTCAGGCAGCTTGCTGGCTCCTCGTGCTAGCCAGAGCTAGCCAGAGCTAGCCACTGGAACCCAAGGGGAGCCGCACCATGCTGCTTATGTGGAGGGGCCCTGACGTTTGCCATTGAGAGAGAGATGGGTGCTGGATGTAAGAAAGTGTTTTTTCGCAACTTTTAGGTTTAAAACGCCCATCTGCCTTCATGGGACAAGCAATACACAAAGATGTCATTTGGTTTCAACAAAGTTCAATGTGCGTCTGTGTGTCCTAACAGTGTCTCCATATGCTGTACATCCGCGTTACCCTCTCGCTGTCTCTTTTTCTCTTTCTGGCCGCGTTTGCTTGCCTGTGCGGGCATCTCTGAGCTCCGGCATGTCTCCTTCCCTTTCGACTTTAACCTTGTCTTGTTGACTTGTTGACTTCCACATTTTGACGTTATTCTTGTTATGCCATTACTTGGCGTTCCTTGCAAGTCTACATTTTTCCGCCATTGTCCCTCTACTAATGTGTATTTCTTCCACATGTTTGGAGAAAAAAAGCTGCCGTACTGTCAGCCAGTGGATGGGGGGCGACAGGGCGGCTTTGTTTTATTTCTTGTTGGGAGGCTTCCTGAAAATAGAAACTATCCTATGCGGCACTGCAAAGAGGGCCGTCATTGGATCGCTTGGCAGTCTATGCTCTTCCCTCAAGGAGACAAGTGATCTCCGCAGCAGGCATACTCCCGTTGAAGAACAGACATTGTTTAAGTTAATTTGTGAACAGCAGCCACGTGCGCTGCATTACAGGCTCTCTTCTTTGGGTTTTCATTATAACGCACACGGTTCGCTGTTCACAGCGCGTAGTGAATATGCATAACGTGCAGGCATTTGCTCGCAGAGTAATATAGCCAAATGCAACATTTTCAAACCCATGCACAGGCAGGACGCTACAGCAGCTACACACAGCAACTTTGCCGAAGTTCACACTACAGGAACCGTTGGCTTTAAAAAAGGAAAAATAAAATACAGGCACTACAAATAGAATGTCTGAGGTAGGTGCGTAAATCAGGCTCTCCGGCATGAAGAAATGCCAGCACGCCAAAGGTACTAGGCAAAAACCGCACTACGTATTCATCAAACCCTTTCCATTTCTCCCTCGTCGTCTCACCGAAGCTTTGTCAATTTTTCTCCATCTTCAATAGGGGAGCTATTCGAAGACAGTAACCTGGAACGACAGAGCAGCGTGATGGCTTCGTCCTAGCATGATTCGCCCTGCAAGAACTGAAGTGCCCGCTCTGATTTTCTGCGTAGTTGCAAAGCTCCGCTTTCCACATTCTTAATGACTTCTTTAAACTTGTCTACAGGGAAAGTATTAAAAAGTGACCTCAACTGCAAAGCATACGATTCCGCCTCCTTTTGGACTGCAGCGCACTTTTCCAGATGTTCCTTCAAGCCAATGGATACCGGGTTAATCTTTTCAAACCTTGGGGAAGTGTCAGAGGTCGCTTTTCCAAGAAGGCTTGAAAGACGTAACTCTGCATCTTCTAAGGCCTCAGACAGCTCGACACCTATTTTCAGAATCTCCTCCCCCTCGGCGGGGCTAGGCACATAATTTCTTCTTTTATGGCCCTTAACTATCAGGTTGGCTATGCTCAAAGCATTTGCTTCCTTTGCTGTCATCGCCGCTCCAGTTAGACGCCTACGTGCGACTAAGAGAAGAGACAGAGCCCTCTGCCGTCTCTGCCGAAGTATCCCCCTTAATGTAGACCGAAGAAGCTCTAGTTCTCTCTCAAGCTCGGAAATTTTCGCGGTGAGTGAGTTTATTTTCATTTCTAGTCCGGTTGAAATCGCCTGCTGCATCAAGTGCCTGAGCCTGCCGAAACTTCGGCCTGACGGTTCCGTCTTACTGTTGAACCTCGACTTATGGGCGACCAAACGCTGCCATTCCTCAATGCTCTTGCGCAAGGCAGTAGCAAGGCGAGATCTATCGGCCAACATGCAGCGCAGCTGGGAATCTGCTTCATGTAGAAGCTTCATGTCCTTCTCCGTCAGATTCTTGGCCTCTGCGGCGGGGATAAGGAGGGCATGCTGAAGACGCCGGTAATCTGACTCGTATGGAAAATGCTCCAAGGGACTGGCTGCATAATAAAGGGAAGGTTTGAAGGTGCGGAGAGCAATCTTTTCCTCTCTTTCCCCAATATGCCTCCGCGTGAATCCTTGCTTGTGGTCTGGATTGCGGTTAGTTTTTTGAAGTGGAAATACTGTAGGGGTACTGGAGCCCTGGCGCCTGTGAACTGAACCGGGCGGCGCTGACGAGATGGGTGAAGCAGCCAAAAGCAGATCGCTGCTGCCCTCGTTGCAGTTCCTAAATGAACCGGATTCTGCCACGGACAAGATGCGTCCAGGTATACCTCTAGCCACCGTCTCAGCAGAACCCAGCTCTCGCAGGCACCGGAATCTACGAGCAATTGAGAAAATTGTTGCTGACAGGCTAAAGCGAGCGGCTGTGTATGCCCCGTGACAGTTCAGCGCATCCCCGGGTGAAATCTTGTTCCTGGAAGCCGGATCAAGTTTGCCAGCCTGAATATGTGCATGCTCACTTGACCCTTTACCAAAAGGCAGAGAGTATTCAATCCCTTCACAGAAAACCTGCTGGGCATGAAAACAGAAAAACCTGCACAATACGGAAAGAGAAAGCACGAACGTGCAGCTGCGCATCTCCCTCAGTGCGGGGGACTGAAACGTTAGAAATAATGCCGCGAACAGAAGGAGAAATGAAATGACACGCTTGTTTCATCCTTATACACTTAGAAAGAGAGACGAAAAGGGAAAAATGAGGACGTTTTGTTCAGTGTTCCATGCCAGGGACCCTCGAGTCTAGAGAGCGTTGCACGATATCGCTCGGCGCGTTGCAGGGTATCTTGATGCATTTTCGACCTGGCATTTTTCCATAGTCATTTTATCATTGCGTCTGAATACCATTCATTACGTCAGAGTTCAGTTCCATGCTTGTTTGCGCACAGCTCACCCGAAAGGGACACCGAGCACGACGGGAAATGGGAAGGCGCCGTCTCCTGCTTGAGGAGCTGACCTGCATGTCCAAATTAGCACAAATTTTACGTCTAGCGTGATTCCTGGATGCTTTTCAGCCACTACTCTTGAAAGAAGAGTGCTAGTTAATGCAAGAATATAAGCGTGGTGGTTGGAGTTTTTATTGCGCCGTATGCAGTTAATGATTGTATCTCTACCTGCAAGTTGGCTGACTGGTGGGCCAAGTAAGCGTAAAAGTACTGTCTCCATTGTTAGCGCATGTAGCAAAAGGAACTCTGCTGTACTTGCTCGTGGGGTTGGTTGATCAATTAACATTGATCACTGCGCCCTCCGTTGAGGAAGCATCCAACGGTTGATTGCCTCGTTGCACCGGAACACCCCTTGCTGCAGCACTTCCCGCACAAGCTACAACACACATGAGAGTGAGCAATCCGCTTCCCGATACACGCGTGAACACCTTTGTTAATTCTTAAGCGCCTTCCGGAATTCCAGTGGCATGTATACGTACACACGAGAACGAATGCAACTGCCTACCGGCAGGCCTTTGTACACTACTGGCATTGGCCTTCACGCATCCCCCGTGGGAAAAGCGGAACTGACTGGGCATAACTAGTGTGGAAGCTGGCGGGCCACTCTGCACCGCCTGCGACGTCTAAGGAGATGCATGCTCATTGGATTTGCGCGGTCAACTCAGCAGCTCCTCACCTGAGGACGAACGAACGAAATATTGCAGTTCATTTAAAGCACAGCTTCAGTGCATATTCCCGTCATTCCAGTGGTGGCTAAAACGATCAACCTATACAGAAGAGTGCGTAGAGGGCTGCTAGCGGCAATCAGTAACCCCAGAAAATGAGCAGGACAGCCACGCATAGTAATCCCCGTTGATTTTTGTTATCACTGCTGAAGTTCTCTGGTGGTGGCACACTTATGAAATTTCAGTGTGATGGCAGAAGTCAACGGGTGTGCTTCCTAGACGCACAGTTCCATACAGCCTTTAACCTAGGGAACCAGCGCATTTCAGTCTCTTCGTCAAGGTGTCTTTCTTACCAAACTATTTCCTATTACGCCCTTAAAAGTAAACTCCTGGTAAACTGTGGAATGAATATGGACCAGTAGAACAAGTCAGCGGCACTCAACCACTACTAGGCGCCTACAGAGGAGCAATGCGCATACGTTCGAGAGTCTCTTCTTAGGACATCTATGTACAAGCCCTGCATATGCGCACCGGTAGCATCACCTTTGTAAAACCCACTTGGAATCCTGATCCTTGAATTCTATGAACACCCCGATGCCGACTCATCACACCCTTATACTTGAAGAAAGTTCAATTAGGAACGAGAGTTCACCGTGATATAAGATACGTGAGCTAGCTCCTACAAAATGCCGGTATAATAAAGTACAGGGTTCTACCTGAGATAATACCTAAGTAATAGAACAATATGCACACGCTAGATATTGAAGTAGCTCTGAGTATGTTCGTACATCTCTACCCAGAAGTTTTTCTGCCCTTTCCAGTCAAGTTTCAACCAGAAAGGCATACTGCATTGTTCGCCGCGTCGCGTGAATCGTTGTCAAGATCAAAATGAAGAGTAATCAAACGGCAGAAACGTTTCGCACACAGCTTACGCTTCTGTTGCAGATGAGCAAACTCTCTGGCTAGACTTTACCATCGCACACATAAAAAGCCACCAACAGCAAGAGTAGACGAAGACGTGAAGATGCCTTTGCAGTTGTTACACCCGTACGTGGGAGAGATGGTTCCTTCACCCTCCTCTTGTGCGGAAACCTGAAGAGCCTCCAGTTTATGGGTTACATCAATCCACAACGACAAATGAGATGATGAAATGCAACGCAGAAGCTGGGTATAAACTGACGCTGTTCACCGTAGCGAACACGTAGAACAGGCTCCTTGCTTCCGCCAGGATGCTTAAGTGGCTATCTCTAGAGACCTTCTAGAGCAACAAAACGCAATTAGCGACGACTGCAATCGAGGCATTTGATCAATGAATGGTCAAACCATCATAGCCCATGTTTCTTTCCTTTGAAGTCATCAGCCTAATATGGTATTGCCATGGAGGCCATTTGCTGACTTCGTGGTGCCTTCGGTTCAAAAGTCTCCAATCCTAAGGCGCCTGAAGAGCGAACGCAAAAAACCTGGATCATGAGCCCGTTGCCGATCCTGTAAGAGAGAACTGCATCGATCAATAGCTCTCCGCAGCTGTAAATTTGCTGCCTCCAGCTCTTCAATGGTCTGACGTTTTGGAGCACTGATCAAAACGAATCTAAGTTGTAGGATAAATGTAGACGCCTCCATTTGGAGTAATTTGCACTTCTCATGGCGCTTTTCCATCGCCCGAAAAATGCGGAAAGCAGCAAATCGCCCACCAGAACGAGGTTCTAATGAATCCATCTCCGTTGTCAAGGCTTCCGTCGATTCCCGCATTCGTGTTAAAAGTTCCCTACTCATTTTCATAATCTCCTTCTCCTCAGCAGCAGTAGCCACAAAATGCGCGCCTTTAGGGCCCTTCACTACGAGAGTGGCCGCACTTACAGCTGCCGCTCCTTTTGAAGAGAGGTACATCCCAGATGCGCGACGCCTTGCAACTAAACGTAAAGCAAGCGCCATGTGCTGTCTTTGGGGAACCATGGTTTTCAATTCACGCCGAGTTCGCCACAACAGGCGTTCTTGTGATTGAGCTTCTTCTTTCAATTTGGTTAAAGCCCCCCGGAAAATTCGTTGTTCTTCGGCAGAAGTGGTGGATCCATCCAGCGCCAGCCCCTCCATACGGGCCTCAAGAAGGCGCTGTTTCGTTGTGTTTGCACGCAAGGATTTCAGAAGGTTGGTTCTTTTTCTAAGCATGCGTGTCAGATAGTCCTCCGCCGTATGCAAAAGTTCCAAGTCTGTTTCTGTCAGATCAAAGCAGTCATAACCAGAAAGTTGAAGAAGCTCAAGTTGGCGCGCGTGCTCTCCTATGTCCAGTGGGGGATCCAGCAACACGCTTTTCTCACTGACAGGTTTTTTCATACTGCGAGCTGTTCCCTCCAGTCTTTTGTTTGAAGCAGAAACATCAGGACGGTATCCGCCAAGCTCCCCTTGCAAATCGCTGCTCGTGGCAGGACTGACTGGAAAATTTTTGGATTGCCCAAAACTGCCAGGCATTCTGAAAGAAGCTGCACGAAGCGGGACTTTATGCGGCCCACGGTCTACGCTTCCTTCCGGAGTTTCCGGCGCCTGCAAAACGTGCCCTGCAGCAGGTGAAGTCCCACTAGCAGTGCCACTTGGAGAGCGCCATGAGGGGCCACTTGATGCACCGCTTGCAGTGCCACCAGAGCTGGCGCTTGCAGCGCCGCTTGTTGCTCTGCTTGCAGCCCCACCTCCAGTGCCTCCTGAGGCTCCACGTTCCCCTTCGGCATCCGATTCAAAGCAGTGCCTAAATGTGCCCGTCTCTGCTACTGAAAGAAGGCGTTCCCCTATGCGACCCGTTAGTCCTTCATGAGACTCCAGTAGCCTCAAACATTGGTGACCCCGCAATAGAAGGAAGATGGTCGCCGACAGGCACATGATGCTGAACATGTACCGGGCATGGTGGCCTTGCTCACGTCTGCGTGGTAGCTGAAAATATTCTGGATTGTTTAATCTGGTGCTTTCTATTGAGATATGGGGCACGTTTGGAGCCTCCCTCCCCTGCGTTGAAATGGCCATTGTGTCAAACCCTTTAACAACTTCAGTGAAGAGGTGAAAACCTGACTGTCCTCGCCACCTGTGAGAAAAGCTGTTGTTGCCTAAACATTGTTCATCAGAATATGGTGTTTTTCGCAGGAGTGTAGCTGCAGCCCTGCTGTCGTGCACCGCGATCACATAGCAAGAAGAGTCAAATCGGATGAGCTCACCAGCATGATCGGAAAGCAGTCTGTGACAAGCTGCAACAATATTCTGTTGAAAGTGGATGGTAAATTATCAAGCTTTCAAAAGGTTGTTGCATGGGATGGGAGGCGGAATGAAACGAGGTTCGGGACTCGTCACCAGGAAACAGTAGTCGTACAGTTGGCGAGAACCCGAAGAGCGGCAGTCATCGCTCCAACTTTTGCTATATTTTGTTCACGAATGTTAAAAGGTTATTGTAACGTTTTCTTTCAAGAGCAAGGAACTCTCTGCATTGAATAGGTGCACGGATATCACGCTGGCAGATATTGGTCATGCCCGCTCTGTTGCGTTCGTCCAGCTTCTGGATCGATACTCGAGAGTGTTGCGTACTTGTCTGTCTTGTTCTTGGTTTTGCCTTGCACTGCACTACTTATCATGTTTATTCATAGTAAACTTTTCATTTAACTTTTACAATTTTGATTTCGACAGGTGACGCGGAGTTTCCGGTGGAAGAAGTCGTCTTCTTAAGGCCCATTGCCATCTGTCAGACTTTGGTCTGGAAAGTACTGCCCGCAGTTCAACCTTTTCGTGATCTCCTGAGTAACTCCACTTCAGAAAATCTATTTTACACGTTGTTATGTCTTGCGTCGAATTCGCGGCACAGCTTGCATCCAGCACCGATGTAGTAGAGAGTTCCATTGCTTTCAGCGCATCGTAGGAACTGTGGTGGGATGTGCCGCCGTCGGAACAAATAAATTCTTCCTTCTTCCCAGATGAAATATATTTTCTTTCATGTATTCTGCAAGGTCGCCTTGACATCTAGCTATAGCGACAATGAAAAGGAGCTGTATTGGCCCTCCACTGAGCTCGCTTTCATTTTCAGGCAGTGTGCGAAGTTCAGCATCCTCTTGCGGCACTACAAACGCATTAGCGGGTGTGGATGACAAAATGCCCCCCATACGAATGACTTTTTAAATTTGGTTGATTCATCTAGAGGCGCTGTCGAAGCAGGCGTCTCTAAACCAGAGGTCGCACGCAGTGCAGTCAGCGACGTTCATATGCGTCAACGTTCCGTAGTTTTTATCACATCACTTGCTTCTTTTTTATTTAGACTTCTATTCAGAAAACCATTAGAATACTTTGACCCCACAACAGATTTTCCAAGAAAAATAACTTCTCTCCGTCGTGAACACCCGCATCTGTGTGCAGCAGTGTATAGTGCTTGAGAGGCAACACAGTTGCACAAACAACTCTAAGCTGTACTATATTACATAGTAATCGGCGCATTTAAAAGAATGCTTGTGGAGTTGCAATAGGCCATACCCTCAAGTGAGGTGAACCCAGTGTTACTAGCATTGGTATTTGCTGTATTCCAAAGCATCGGAATTTAATTTAGGACTAGAGGCGGCATCTCTGAGGGCCTCCCCATGGCTGTAGCTGATGCATCTTAACCTTCAGCGGTGGTATTTTCCCATCTCTCCACCCGATGCAACTTCAGAGATGGCGTGGACGCGGCCAACATTTTTCGGATTCTTGGGTGATGCGCTCCCCTCAGGAGCTACCCTAATCCTTGCAATTGCATGTGTCTGCGTTCAACCCTGGACGTTGTTACCATCTAACCTCCTCTTTTTTGTCTAGGTTCGGATGCCAGCAGTACAGTCCTGTTCCTAACAAACTCATGCTGCTGAGACGGCTTCAGCTTTACAGTCTCCCTGTGCCATGGGCTAGGCAGCTGCTGTAGCGGTAAATATGTAAGGGGTAGGATGCCCTTATACCCTTTATTCTATGCGTTTTGGTGCCGCCCTGGTTGCCTGTGCTTCCCAGACGTCTCGCTATAGACAGATACCCTTGCTTTCTCCAAGCGGCTGGGCGCGCAAAGGCGTGCACTGTCTGGTGAACAAAAAGGGGCTGATGTTTCGGGGTCACTCACAGGTAGGCTGATGTACCCGTAATTGTGTGCCTTTCGGGTACTGAAGGCCAAGTAGAGCTTTAACAATCGACTACTGTTCTACTGACTGCATAAGTTTGGGGGGGTGTAGGCGTGCTTGCGGGAACGCCTTGAGGTTGGAACAAGAAGTGCTGCCAGGGGATATACGTGCGCCTCCCCACACCACCAGGGCCTGCGCTGCGGCGCGCATTATCTAGGGATAATTGACTCTTAGTAGAAACACCTTTGTAACACCTTTACAAGTAGGCAAGTGTCTAGTTTCCGCTGCCCAGGTGCGATGCGATGGGTGCTCGCCCTTTGCCGTGAAGAGCTGCTATAGAGTCACAGACACTGACGATCAGAGTTCGCAGGAAACCTGTGGACTTCCCTTCCAGTCTCCAGGGATCCTGAGCACGGCACTGTCAGCTCCGCAGGCGGGAGCGGGGGGGAGTTGGTCTGTCATAAGTCGCAGTATTCCGTGCTGCAAATTCAATTATGAACCCCGTAGACAATTGTTGAAGGCTGACCTGACCCTCAGCCAGCCTGCGAGCAATTACAAATACAATTAAATTTATTTTAGCAAAATAAGTCATTTTTCTTACTATTAATTAAATTACATTTACCAATTTGAGACAGACCATTGTGCACCTGCCGCCCCTCCTTGCCCTCATGTGCCTGGGTGCCAAAATAGGGATGGGTACTCCGAGGATGCGAAGAAGCGCAAATACCGTGAAGGAGAAAATCAGAGGGCAAAAATACGGCAAAAAGGCACCCAGAATATGCGGATACTTCATACTCTTGCTGTTGCGGGCCCGCATCTCGCTGCGGCAGGACCGCGTAGCGGCGTGCTAATTTGTCCTGTATGGTGCTTTGGGCCTTGAGCCAGGGTTGCAATCCGTTTCCTAGTACGGGTATGCCGGGTAATACGAAGATGCGTGGCGTACGACAACAGATGGGCACAACAATGCACGTGCGCGACGGTGTGTCCAGCCGACTCCAAAGACATGCTCCAGCCCCTAAGTGAGAAAAATGAGTGTAAGGAATTACGGCGTCGTGCTGTACATAGGAACAGGCTGCGGAGTAGATCACGACGAAAAATTGAGTAGAGCAAGGAAGGGTGGAAATATGATGGGCCCCGGCTTCTCGATAGGTTTGACGGACCAACAAAAGGTTTGTACACGGCCAAACCGTGTGCTGGGCTGTGCGTACCGACGCTTTGAGTCGCTGCTGCTGGGGCGAGGAAGACCCGTAGATGCTTCTGAGGGTTTGCTTCGCACACGCCATCCTCAGAAACCCACTCATGCCGGTCTCCAATTCATCTAATGCGATTCCTCCGTTTCTGCGTCTCGTCGGGGCATCACGTGCCTCATAAGTCTCAGTCTCCTCCAGTTGCTCCTTCCCGCAATGACGTTGCAGTTTCGTGGGATATGAGCTCAGGGGGAGTTTGGGCGATTCTGTGAGCCTTTATACAAAGCTATCATTGATCCACATCCGCGATTTGACGCGTTTTTCAGAAATATTTCATTGGATTCATCCCCCGCTTGCCGAGGGAACAAGGCATGATAGGAATACCGTAGACAAGGAAACCACATGGCAGGGAGCTGTATCCAAAGCGACCACTTCTTTATAAACAGCATTCACACGGCTCCTAACGCTGAATGATTTTCACAGTTTTCCAGTTCCCTAATAGATCAGGTGTTACATGTGCCGCCTGTTCTTTCATCGTCGCACCGGCATTCTATCTGTTTCCCCGTGTCCAGTAGCGCTAGCAACTCACGAACATTAATACGGGCTATGATAGTCACAGAATTGAGTTGAGGAAGATGTACAGGTGCTGCTATCACCGCCGTTGGACTCTTCGCTGCACTACACATTTCGTGGGAGCCAGAGCGTTCCGCTTATCTCTTTTTTGGTCCCCTGACAGTACGTCCAGAATTCTTGTTTCGCCATGTCCTTTTTCTTCGCAAGAAATCCAGAATCATACAACCTTGCGTATTGCAAAAACACGCGCGCTCCCCGTGGTACTTACCGCAGCCTTTTTGAGTGCCCGACTTGCGAGTTGCGATCTGTTCTTGCTTCGCGGTTGGCATTCACAGCCAAATTTGTACATCTGAGTCATTTCCAGAGCCTTGTTCTTCCTCCTCAGCCAAAGCAGTGGAAGCGGTGTTCTTTTTCTTTCCCTGACGCTCAGGTACTTCATCATCTTGGCAAGCTACACTAGAGGGATAGGCCACATTTTGCTTTGCTCCAAGCTAGTCCTGCTGTGAATAATCTACGAGTCCAGCGTGGGACGCATGTTCTTCAAGGATTGATACCTTTTGATGTACCCCTCTACCGGAGACTTCCTCAGCTGAAACCGCCTTAATTATGCTGCAGCCTGTTCTCTCATAAACCTGTGTAAAAGCCAACATAGCAGCATACTTCGGCTGGCTCCCAGTGATCTCTCCTGAAGACGCGCATCCATGCATTGGTAAAACAACCACTGCCATGCCTCCCCCCCTGATTCAGAGGGCACTAATGGCAGCGATTGTTCTTAGTGCAAATTTTGAAGAGAAAAGCACATCTAAGGAGAAGCCGGGGATTTCCCCTCTTTCCCCGCACTTCTGCGCCGCCAGTTGGCGGAGAAAGAGGCACTCTCCATGAATTGTTTCTGGCTGGATGGGATGTGGATTGCGCCTTTGCTCCACCACGATGAGGCGTCCAACCTTTTGTTGGTCACCCGGCAGAGGGTATATTCTAATCAGTCTGCAATAGCCAGAAGGGAAAATGGCTGAAATTTTGACGATTAAATGACAGTCATCCAAATTTTCGTGTTTCTTTTTCACCCGGAAGATCGCCTTCATCATTAATTCGTGTTATGCATCAGGCTAACCATACAGGGGGGCGAGGTTTGCTGTTCTCTGCTGTGCTTCTCAACCATTCGATGCAACCATGTGTACTTGAGTCCTCAGCCTTAGCGGAGGGCATTCGTGACCTGCAGTAGAATCAAAATACTTACAGTAGGCTCTCAAAAAGGGAGTGGCCTTCTCCCCAACCTCCAGACAAACTAAGCATAGGGACACAAGGGCCTGGGGTTGAGGAGGAGATTAAGGGGGCCTGTAATACATTACAGCACGTCTTGCTGCAAAGGCGGCAAGGGAACCCCACATGCGAGCCTGCAAAGCGTGTACCGACACAATAAACTGTTGTTAAACGTTTACTTGGCTCTCACTAGCCAGCCTGCGAGCAAGGAGAAACTTGTCTACCAACTTTAGGCAGATTGTGCGACTCTCTGCGAAGGGGAGGTCGTGTCTGCCGACCTGAATTGCAGTTGAGGAGCGTTCAACACCTCACACATGGTCAGCTCACATGATTTTAAGGCAAGAAAAGGGAAAAAGAGCCGAAACCATGGCTTGTCCCTGCGGCATGCAGATTGAAGGCAAGCTGAGCAGGTGGGTGTCTTGGATGGCAGGACAAGCCAGCTCCAGGGGTCATGGGCTAGACGACAGAAAAAGTATTGTACCTTTATCGCAACTGCAGTGTAGGGATAGGTAATGCATTTTCTCTGATTTATATCCTATATGGAGCCTGCGGCTACAGATATTAAAGTCCCTTACGTGTTGCTTTGGAGTGTCCCTAGTACGACCAGCCACCACCCCTAGCTGGATCTACCTGGTGAAGGCGCAGCCATCGACTAGACCACTAAGGGAGGCCCTTTACGCCAGATTGGATGTCTTGCCGAATCCTCAACTGAAATTTTCGAATTACGTGCAGCTTCTATCTGTGTATTGCTCATTTTCTCCTCGCTGACGCCCTGGGCGCTCAATCTGGGTAGTGCTGGACAGGCCGGACCCTCGGTGTCTCGCACAAGTTGCTGTGTACTTGCGCATTTTTTGCTTTCTTTGTTTTATTTCGTTAGAGTATGCCATATTGGTTAAGGATCTTGAATATTTCCGGTATTCTTCTGCATCGAAGGGGGCACATCTGCTGAAGTTGCCTGCGTGTCTCGCGCTCGTTAAGGGTCGGTTTTGTACCTGTGCAGATGCTACACCACGGCATAAATGTAGGTCAGTACTTCGTCTCTTCCCGTTGGATTTGTAGCGCAATCAAGAGGCGAGGGAGGGCCCAGAGGCTGGCCCTACTCCGTCGATATACGCCCATCTGCGCTTTCAAGGCCATCGTCGAAGTGGGCCCCCAAAGACCGAATTTTCCTTTGATCACATTTCCTCCTCCAATTTTCGTACTAAATTCAAAACCTCGCGTGGCTGCCTCCGCCAACAGCTGCTGCAGCAGCAGCAGCTGGGCGCAATGAGCCCGTCTACGGCTCGAAAGAGGCATCAGCAGGAGCCTCCTGTTCCCCCAGTTTCACCTTCTCTACCCCCATGCCGCCTCTCGCAGCATCCTGACACAGAAAGCCCTCTTAATTCGCTGCATCAACGGCCATCGGATTCCCCGATTCCAGATAAAAAAGGCCGCAGTTCTGGGAGGCGCTTTGCATCGTTGCAGCGGCTTTGCGACTGCTGTGTCTCCCCCAAAAGACAGAGGGGCCCCAGGCGACCGCGACACAACTTACGCATTACATCAGCAGCAGCAGGAGCAGCATCCACGGATACGCCTGGTGAAGGCGGACGAATCCGACACTTCAACCCGTTATGCAGCGGCAACAGCACAGCAAGGACACGACGCCGGAAATGCTCAGGAGCACCAGAAAAAGTAGCACCAGCATTAGAAGCGGCATCGCCTGCAGTAACAGCAGCAGAGAATCGCCATGCCACCAGTGTTTGCTGCAGCAGCGGATGCGAGACTGAAACCATGTTATCGACGTCCGCCTCAGGCAGGGATGAACCCGCTGGAGGCTGCTTCTCTCCTTGTCCGGCAAAAAGGAAATCAAAGCAGGCGCCACCTGCAACGGCCGCTTTTGCTGCTGCAGTACAGTCGGTTACGGCAGCATCAACCGGTGCAGCACGAAGTGGATTACTTGACGTCTCAGCTCGTGGTTCTGAGGAGCTAAACGCTCTTCAGTCCCCGTTGGTGCAACAACTGCAACAGCGGCAGCAGCACCAACGGGCCGGTAACGTTGGCATATTTTACAATCCTAGCGCTGGCCAGCAGGCAGCAGGAACCTTTTGTAAGGCGGCGGCAGGGGTCTCAGCAGTAGCAGCAGCAGGCTCTTCCGCTGTTGCGTGCGAATGTGTCAGGCACAGGGCAGCCCAGACTGCAGCAGTGCTTCATAGCTGGTCTCCCAGAACTCTTTTGCCTGAACGGGTGGCATCAGCACCAGCAACAACTGCAGCAACAGTAGCAGCCATTCCTCCAGCAGTAGAAGCAAGGGCAGGCAGCGCCAAGCTCATTCCTGCCTGTTCCGGAGACGAGCCAACTGCAGCAGCAGCAGCAGCAGAGGCGTCTCGTGAAGCATTTTTGCGTGAGGAGATGCTCAACCTTGCTGAGAGCCGATACACTGCTGTGTTTGTTCCTGTGGACAAACAGCTGCTGGAGCAAATGAATGATGAGTTCATTAGATCCGATATCAGTAGATATCCTGTCAAGAACACACCCTCTGGTCAGTAGTCACCTGGACGCTTTTTGACACCTTCTTAGCGATAGAAAAAATCTACAGAGGTTCTGTTGCTATGGATACGCCGTGTCTAAGTGTGTGTGTCTCCGTATTTCTCCTTTTGCTTGCGTTAATACCCATCTGGTTGTGTTTGAGTGCATGTGCGTTTTTGCATGCTTGTGCATGTCTGCGCAAGTGTGTATTGGCAGGGTTGTGCGCCTCTTTGGAAGCATTCGCGCGTTATGCTGTTTATAGATGCTTGCCAGGATGAGAATTTTGTGTTTAACAAGGTGTGCGGGTGCCGCTGCAGCACTGTGTATGCGTTTGTACGTGGTTAATTGCGTGGGTTTACGGAGGGCGGAGCTTGCGTTTCTGAAGGCATTGTATTTTACTCTCCGCGATACTCCGACGACCGCTTCATCTACCGTCATGTCCTCCTTTCAGCGGGAGTTAAAAAGGCTGCAGAAGAGATTGCGAATGCAACAAAGAGTGAGGGACGAATGACATACAAAAGCGCGGTAAAATGGGCCAGAGGAGATAATTTATAAACTTTACACAGAGTATTATAGAGTTTTACTTCTATAAGGGTTATTCATGAGATTAGCTGTATTTAACAAAAAAATACGTGGGTTATCCGTGTTTTGAATGATATACAAGTCTTATTCGATTTCTTCATACTTGATTAGGTATATATGATATAATCTATGTATTTAAATAAACCACATTTACAGTGCCAGGAGATTAAGGGTCTTAAAAGCAGAGAATGCGAATGTAGAATGCGGGAAGCGTGTACCTCATATATAGTGCATGCGCGGTACCGAAGTAGCCACCAGCCTGTGAAGGCTTAATATTATAACGTAGAAAGAAATGAAAATACGGCGGAAGCAAACGCCATCAGAAACAAACGGAAAATAGCAGAGCCAGATGCTCGTCTGCACGTATGGCTATCTGCGATTGCTAGCATTCGTGCATATAACTGCACAGGTGAAGACTTTGCCAGCTGTGGTAGTTCCACACAAAATCACACATTTAGACAGAGACACAGATGAGGTTGCGGCGTTTTTCTATTTACTAACAATAGTCAAATGGAGCAAAACAGCTGCAGTTCTTTTGGCGGTGCGCCCTGGCGCCTGCTGTTCGTTCCTTCACTTCCTACAGATAGTGCATTGGATTCGCTGCTATTTGTTTTTTTTTTCAGGTGCGTTCCTGACAGAGGGCCAGTTCATCTATCAACTTGGTATTCATTTATCTCCGGGGTGGGAACACTTCATGATTTTTAAAGGTAAATAGACAGGGAAGCGTGTGATCACATGCCGAAATGCGACGCAACGTCACGTTGGTCCCCGCTAGTGCGATAGGTGACGCTTCTGGGCCAACGTATGCTCTTTTTTGTCCTTTTCCGCCTGGAGAGCGAGCAAAAAAGAGCATTAGCTGACCTCTGCGTTCTGCTGGTGTGCGACTTATTTGATTGAAGCATTGGCACACGGCTTGTGTTTCTCTTCATGGTTGTCTTTCCCCACATGGCTAACCTTTTTAGAAAAACGATTTCGTAGTAGCTCTCGCTCGATGGCGCATTGATATCTGCTTCTTTCCCTAGAATGTCTGTCTTTGCCTCCCTCTTCTTTGTCTTTCCCTTGCGTTTATTACTTGCTACATTTTCCCAGGAGAGATGCGGGAGTTGATTTTGAGGAGGCCTCAACAGCAACAGGATTCCCAACACAGTCAAAGCCAAGCAAACAGTGACGAGGTATGCTCGTTCTGGTTATCCTGCTTACTAACGCATGCTGCCGTCCCGACGATCTTGCTGTTCCGATAGCGCCCTTAATGTTGCCTGATAATATGTTGCTCAGGTGTCCGAAGAGAGCGACGATTCTGAACCAGAAGAAACAGAAACGACCTCTGCTAGAGAGTCCCAAGCACCGCCTCCTCGGCATCAAGACATAGGGCGGTTGCTGCAGCAAATCGCTGAAATTGCGACAATTCATCAAGTCAGGCAGCAAAAGAATTTGCTGCAACAGCAAATGGCAATTGCCCGGGCTGTTGAGAAGGCAAATAGGCTGCTGCTCCTGATAGTGCAGCTGCAGCGGCCCCCGCAACAAATTCCACCAAAGATGTATGATAGAGTGAAGTGCCTCCTGGCAAGTTATTTTTTTAGTTCCTTGTCTCATTTTTCTGCTAAGGAAGAACAGCAACAATCATCAACGGCAAGGAAGTACTTACTGCAAAACAGCAGTATCGGAAAGCAGGGCCAGTTGCTCCTGCTGCTGCTGCAGTGCGTTGCTGCCTCAAGGCAGCACCAGCAAACTTCAGAAACAATGGAGTTACTGCTCCTGCATCACAAGTTACTGCTACAGCACCGAGGCTTCATGCAACAGGCAGTACCTCGGATCTCCATGCGAGGAGTGGAAATGCACCAACAAATCCTAGCACCTTCGTGCGCCATAGAAGCCCCGCGCGAGCTACAGGAGAACCAGTGGGCGCAACAGGAAGACCAGCAACAAGGCCGACAGCGGCAGGAAGGCCAGCATCTAACTCGACAAAACGACGGTCAAGATGACTGCAGAGTGAATAATACTCGCCCCACTAACAGCGACTACCGCAGTACGTCAGCACTGCGTCTTCGGAAACGTCGAGGCCCGTCTTCGAGTGAGCTACTTGAAATCCTTCCCGACGCACCCTTGACTTGTTCGCTTTAGTTTTACGTTGCTGACAGTCTATGCAGTTGCATCACAATTTGGTTCCACGTCGTTGTTCTCCTTTGTTCAGCATCGCCTCTTCCCCTTGCCACCCCACAAACGGGCAGCCTGCTTGCGCAGCAGCAGGGAAAACGACAGCCCGGTTGTTGCACTGCAGCTGCGACTGCTGACGATGGTGCGGCTGGTTCTGAAAATGCTGTTGCTGCCCCTGCTAATGCTGCTCTACCTAGAGGCCCTGCAGCCAAAGGAAAAGTTACCAACCTACCAGCTGCCGCTACAGGCGTTAGCAGCCCCACCTCACAACGCAAAGAGAAAAGACGACGCTATCCTCTGAAGCATTAGATGCTTCCCCAGGGAAGCGAATACGAACCCAAGCTTCAGGACGTGTGAATCAACAATTGACCAGGCGTGTTTTGTTTTGACGCATGCTTTGTGCATGCATTTTAATCTGTTTTGTTTTTGGTGCCTCTAGCACTGCTGAGAACGCTAGCCATTTGAAGCTGTCGATGCGTTGCAGCTCTGAGGCTGATTGAGCTCCATGGCCACCTTAAAGCCATCTTAAAATTCCCAGTGAAGTTAAATTCATGAGAAGATTGTGGAGCAACTATCACGGAGCTGTACGAAACTTGTGTTGCCTAATGCAAGCAGGGTTACAGTCGGGCTTGTATTGGTATTCACCTCAAGTGTGAGGCGAATGACAATACAGTGCCGACTGTAAGGGGATGATTGAGAAGAACAAAAACGTGTTTTCCCGTCTTACCTTGGATCCCATCCAAAGTAAAAAAGCTCCGTAATGGCCCCTGGCGCCCACACTTAAGGGGATAGCCGGCGTATTGAAGCTTACTTGCATACTCAGTGAACACGCTGTATTCACCTCACGGGGCTGGGGTGAATCTTTTAGCGTCTCAGTTGGCCGCCCGTAGAGGTGTTTCACTTATTCTGTCAGATTCTGCCTCCTGTGGAGATAGCTTCTCACCTGTTGCGTCGTTTATTGCAGCCCTACGCCTGGACCGAGTACAGGCCAGCGAGCTTTTACAACACACATCAGGGTATGGACTCACGCAAGCGCTACTCCAGCTGCCATGTCTGCTCAAAAAGAAAGCCTAGCGGATATCCAACGTTCAACTGGCCTCTATTGAAATGGCTCCCCTGGCGGTGGCTGAAGTTCGAATGAAGCTCACGTAAGAGCTCAGGGTCATTATCCTATAGTGGCGAACTGTCGTTTGGCAACGCTACTTCCGATAAATTGCTCGAGAATATGCTACCCATTATGATCCCAGTTGAGACGTCAAGCTCATTAGAGGAGCTCAGGCAACAAGGGTGCATCCGCTGCCCCTGTTTGCTCTGTCTATCCAAAGCCCCGAACGGCGCTGAAGGAAGATGAAGCACGAAAGGAATGCAGACAAGCGCTTGATCCTCCTTGATCAAGCGATTTTCTGCATTCGTTTCGTGTGTAGTCGCGCCAGCTTCCTGATATAATTGTTTACTTACTACGCAGTTAGCAAGCACTTCTAAGAGCTATTACCCGAACAAAACCTCTTCCTATCAGAAAATGGATACGCTGTGACTTGCTGTGGTTTGCGTTGGTGTCGTCTTGGACTTAATATAAGCCTTGCGACAAAACAGCTACAGCGGCTATTCAAGATGACACTGACAATCAGATGACTGACGGCTGCTCATTCATGGCAAGCCTGTGCAAATGGATGAAAAATCCCTATGCTGGCACGTCACGACGTCACCGACCCTCGAAGAGAGAAAACGAAGTGCCCCTACACGCGGTGTTCCGCGTGCTGTTCGCATATATCATCTCAGCTCGGAGAAAAACGCATTTCAGAGCGACATCAGCAGGCATTTCCAGTCAGGCAAAGAAAAGAAATATGGGAGCGCTCCTGCCGTTAGATCGTATCAGCAGCGGCCTCGCTACACAGAAATCCTTCATTGGGTAGCGCAGCAGAGTTGTGCACAGCGCAATACATCCCTAGCAAATTCTGACTGCAGGAGCGGCAGTCCAGGCGCAAGTTCACTGAGTGCAGCCTAGATCTGTACCTCGGAGATACTGCGGCTTATGAATTTGTTCTTAGGCATTTGCAGGATGGTTGACGCAGCAGCTATGATCATGCACTGCGACCACCGAGGGCGGAAATGCAAAGAACAACCATATACACCGACAACCAGGCACCGAACATGGGGAAGAGCTTCATCTCTATGAGCTTGCGGAAGACGTCTCAACAGAACAGCTTTCTAGCAGCTCTGGCCGACGGTGAGTCAACGCCTTAGGACAAATATCTTTGACGAATGCACATGAAGTGCAGATGAACCCTTAGAAGGAGTATTACTGTTGCTCTAAATTCATTTACTGACAACACGACAGGTACCGGCTGCATCTGTTCGAGCCAGCGAACTGCAGGCCCTTTTCTCCTCTGGTACAGTGGTGCAATGGCACCCTGCACGATAGTGGAGACCCCTGTTAAACTGGGCAGCGGCCGGGGCCGGTGCCTCCAACAAATTTCCTTAGACCGTTCTTTCAAGAAAAATGGCAAGCCAAGATCCGTGGGTAAAGGGAGGGAAAACAAATTCTACAGGGCTGTAACTTGCAGTTAACCTTGCCGAGCCAACCTCGCCGCAAGAGACTCTAGCGTGCATGCCAAAACATCCACGCCCTGCGGTAAAGAGGCACAAAACGAAGAAATTCCCATGCCATGGTATGCACGCTCACACACATGCTGAAAGCAAAAGACTGTGGGCAGCTCTGCGCATTCCACCCCTGCATACCTTCTCCACCTGACGAATGCCCAGCCGTTCGTTTGGAAGGTGAGCGTTGTCGCTAGCCTGCCCGAAGGGCAACTGGCAGACAGCTATTTCCTCGTTGCTTTGTGTGTGGCCCTTCAGTCCGGGAAGTCTTCGAAGAGCATCAGCGAGGAACGGAATTGCTGGCATTGAGCCTCCCTCTCGTACATAAAGTGGGTCAACACCCCAGACCTGTGACAACGAAGTGAAATCACCATTTGAACTCCACTGATAAAGACGCTGCTGCTCTGGTAATTCGGGAGGCGGCTGAACAAAGCCGTAGCGCACTCCGTCAGTTAGCCAACTATACTCAACTCTCTAGTGCCCCCGTGTCTTAGCACCTCTTTTATAGCTGCGTGCGCAGCCCCATAAAGCGCACGCGTTCTGGGAGCATCCAGATCTGCACGCCAGCAGCGTCCTTGTCGGAGACACTGGACTGTCAGTTTGCTTGCAGAACATGTTGTCTTGAACGATTCTTGGAGGTGATCTCGAATGAGATTGAACACTTCTTTTGGTCCCTGAGGTGTCAAGGCATGGAGTCGAAGAAGCAGCAAGTTAATCCTGTGGCCTATGCCACCATCAACATTGTCCGAGGAACTTCATGAACCAGGCGTACGAACAGTGGAGAGGTTACCTGCTTGGGCACAAGGCGCACGCTAATTTCTGCGGAAGCTGTTGAAGGAATAATACGCATAGCTCCACCAGCATGCGCGCAATTTCCTTTTAAAGATGCGTGGATGCCCAGCAAAGACATGGAGGGTTCCAGCCACCTGCATAGAAGACCAGCAGCATCCTAGGATTGCACGACTGCTGTTCTGGCGCACAGGTGCCTCCACACTGAGGCAAGGCGCAGCGGTCCAGATCATATATGCAACGTGACTACTCAGTTGCCTGATTTAGAAAGGTCAAACAGAAGCATGAAGGTTAGGGCGACGATTGGCTGTACCGTTTCCGAAGGAGTTCCTGTGGGCCGCCGACTCCACACGCAGCCGCACCCTCTATCCATCCAGTTTCAACAGATTCTGCAGCAATCTTGACGCGCTGGAGCTGAGGAAGACAAAGTGCAGAGTAAAACTAAAGATCTGAAGTGCCTAAGCAGACCACAGACTGGGGGAAGCTCTGCCGGTTTTCTTTGCAGTGCAATGCATTGCAACCTCTCTGAGAATCCAGCACATTTTCCACTAGATTAGCACTTGTTGCGCACCTCTGCGTCATCGGGAGGCTGAACGGAGTCGTAGAACCGAGGAATCGTTACGCGACCAGTGCTAGGATCGTATATCCGGCCCAACAGGTGAACCAAGCTCTGGAGAAGTACAAGAAGATGTTGAGCATTATGGGTAGCATGGCCAGTTGAATTTAGGCCTGGTCATGACTGATTGGCCTCGAATCATGTAGCCGCATTGGCACACCACGCTCCCAAGTACTGACAATCCGGAGATTGTTGCTTACCTGCATTGGCTCCTCTACTGCACCTCCGTGTACCCCTGAATGGTAGCCGCCTTCTCCTGTGGCAGCTGTTGCCTCCACGCGGATGTCCAGCACCCCCCGCATGCCGTAGCTGCAAACAACGATCAACACATATATACAGAGGCACGTTAAAAACTGTCTACGGCGCTCCGGCGCTCAGTTTGCTAGTGGGTATAAGTTCCACTTACACAAGGCATGGGGTGACGTCATCGGCCCAATAGCTATTGTTGCATATGAGGAAATGCGTCCCGTGAAGCCAGCTCGCCTTTTGCGCTACAGCATCAGCAAGACCTGAATACAACTCATGCCACGCACCATAAAGATGCCGTCATCATGAGACTCAAGCCGAACAACTGAATGGAAACTGGCAGTCACAACGCAAGTCAAGAGACTCCCGGCTCTGCACACGCTGCTCCACTAGGGAAAGTGGTACAGTGGACCGCGAAGCGATGCAGCAGCGAGCACAATGCCTCTACTTCAGCCATTGCGCGGGCTTTAGGGAACTTGAGATCTTCTGAAAATAGCGTACCCACGCTGCCGTTTTCCTCGTCTCCTTCGCAGATCCACACGAAGTTGAAGGGGACAGCGGGGTCGTTCTTAGACGGTGTTAGGGGTTGAGTTTCTAAAGCTGTGTTGGAGCCTGGAAGCTGCGAACGCTGGTCGTGTGTTGCCTGATTTACCCTATGTTTCCGCCTCCATTCTGCTATGAACTGCTTAACGGCTAGCAAAGAACAGATAATGGGTCCCTTGTTGTCAGTCACTCCCCTCCCATATATGTAGCCATCTTTGCAGTGTATTCTCCAAGGATTTGTATGCCAGCCCGTGCCATGCCATTCAGAAGATTTGGTCTGATTATCTCGACGCTTAGAATTGTCAAGATACACATTCGCCTCAAAGCTGCAGCCAGATGCCGGCTGGTTCCCATTTGTGCGCGGCAGTGCGGTCGGAGACGCCGCAGCGGTAGTGGGGGAGGCTGAGCCTTCTGACCCGTCGGAAGGGGTCGGTGCAGAAGATGAGGAGCTACCTCCCGCAGATACAACGTCGTAGTGCGAGTAAAAGACGATTGTGGGGTGCTGCGGGTTCGTACCCAGACGGCCAAACACCACAGGGTGCGGCTGGCCCTCTCCTTGGTCACCGTGGAACTCTGATGTCGCCGTTGATCGGCGAGGCCACACAATATCCACCGTAGCTCCAAGTGCCTGCTCAAAAAGCTGCGCGACAAACTTGGCAGCACCGATGCAGCCGCTAACGTGTCGGGGACATCGTGAGGCTGAAATTGATTTATATGCAACAAACTGAGCGAGGAGGGGCAGGAAGTCTCTCCGCCTAGGTTCCAGACCTCCCCCAATTGTCAGTGGCGGCAGTGAAGGCATTGACGCTCCAGGTGTGATAATCATGCTGCTAACTCGACTTCCACACAGCCCGCGCTGCCCTTGTGTCGTGGTCTCCTCAACCCTTACTCTCCCCCCAGCAGCACCTCGCTGTAGAATGCTTGCAGTTGGAAGTATTGATGCACATCCAGCGGAAGCTCCAGTTTTAGCCGCATTAGCACCCTGCAATTCTGAGGCCAACGCAGCTGTGCCTTCTGCAGGTTCGCTCGATAGCGACGCCTCACGCGTTGCAGCCCGACCCTGGTCGTAAGGATCTCCAATGGATTCTTCTTCACCCAAATCTCTCTCGCTTATATTCCAAACACCTAGTTTCCCGTCACCTCGCCCTGCCCACAATTGTAAACCGCCTTTGCCTCTGCCGCCAGCAGTGGTGGGGCTAGTTGGGAACGCACCGGCGCTCCCACTGTCGGGAATACGAAGGCTCGACACGTCTGGAACTAACAGCAGGTCGGTGAAAGATACGCCACTTTTCTGGCCTTCAAAACTGCCTGATTGGAAGGTTTGGCGGGTGCCGACGCCTGTAAAGCGCCCATTATCTGCGAATGTAGGAGACGCATTGAGGTTGAGTTGGAAGGCTACAACCATCAAGTCGAGCTGCCAGACGAATAGCTCGCCATTGGCAGACCCGCTAATCAGAATGTTCCGCGCAGCATCCGCAGCAAGGGCTAGCACCTCTGACGTATGCACATTTAACGTCTGTATGCAGACAAGCTGCTCGAGGGCCCAGACGCGAATGCTACTGTCACGGCTTCCACTAAACAAGAGACCCTGAAGGGAATGCACATTGTCATCAGACTCTTTGGAGCACTCGGTCTGGGGACTCTGTACTTGCAAACGATCCCTAGGTCCCCAGCTGCGCAAGTCCCGACAAAGAGATTCTACGGGGGCCTCTGTGTACGCCACACACAATACCCCTCCATGGTGACCTGAGAGCTCTCCCACCAGGCTCCCATTCTTCCCCCACAAAAGCAGCCGACCGTCGCCTCCACCGCTGCAGATGACTCTTCTGCCGCAGCTGGTGAGGCATTCCACAAAGCCATTGTGTCCACTTTCGTCCAGCCAAGGTCCGACTAAAGACTGATGAGAGCACTGACGTTTTACACCGGACTGCTCGAAGGGCAAAAACCGCATTTCTATCTTCAGCCCCCCATCGTTTTTAGACGGCTGCGCCACAATTTTGAGGCTCGAGGTGCTGGTTACAACCCTGTAAGTACCTGGAGACGCCGACGCTGCAGCTCCTTCTGGTAATGGGACCTCCAACTCGTGTGGCGCCTTAAAACAGTACACAGTGCCAGTGGGCGGGTACAGGCACCCCAGCCTCCCAGAGCGAGAGCACTTCTTCGACCATAGGGCTGTCGCTGCGTGTGACGCGTGTAATGTCACGCTGCGGAGAGAGCGAGCAAAGCCAGCAAGGAGGCATCGGAATGACTCACCCTTAGCCAATGCAGACGTGTGACAGGGTGAAATTGCCATACCAGGGCTCTCGTGCTGGGCGGGTAAGTGGGCACTCTGAGGTTTCTCGGAGAGGCATGGTGCATCCCCAGAGAAAAGCGAGCGCAGGGACTCCCTTTCTTGCTCTCCCGTAAATTGAACCTTCAGCTGACCCGAAGCAAGGGTTTTTAGTTCGAAGTCTCGGGAAACACTCAAGGGAAGAGACTCCTGCTGCGTTGGCTGGAATGAAACAGCATTCGCCAAGACAGAGACCATAACTTGCGTATGGCGGAAATACCGCAACAAATCACTTAGGAACACCGCCCCGATCTTGGCTGACTGGAATCCAATAATCAGAAGGAGGTTGCATTCCGGCTCATCCGCAAAGGGATTTAACTGAACCTTATGAAGATCTGCGAAAGGCAATGAAGCCAGTGGAGAGGCAGCCGATTCCTCACTGCTTGCCCCCCCTGAGTCATCAAGCCGCATCGCAACGCGTATCCCTTGGAGGCAAGCTTCACATGCATCCACAACGCACATCCTGGTAGATGGGTCGTGGCGGCTTCCATTTGTGCGAGCACAGCCGGAAGCGTCCCTGACCAGCAGAGACAGGACGTCACCCTGGTGAGGGAGAAAAGTAAGGCGTACAGCTAACAAGTCATCAGCATCAATAGACACCCTGGGCCCATCGAGGCAAACAAGTTTGCCACTAAGAAGACGAGGCTCACGACCACCAAAGATAAGTGGAGAAAGATCCCAAACAGCCAGGGAGGTATCGCTGCCACCTGTCACTAAAAAGACTTCCGGAAGTGTAGAGTCGCAGGCCTTGCATGGAATTGCTCTCCCAGTGCTCGCACAGCCCCGCCTGAAGATATTGGCGTGAACAGCCATGGCTAGGACTCCTCCCACATGCGCTTGAAACGATATCGGCGAGACAGAGGCGCTGGTAGCATCGTAAATGACGACCTCCCCACTCTGCATGCCCGCGAAAACAAATGTTTTTGCCGCTACAGGGGGCGCCGAAGATGACGCTCGGGAGGAAGACTTCAATTTAGTGTCACTTTGGCAACTTGCAACGTATATCATGATGGTTTCAAGACATAAGATGGCACACGAGCCCGCAAGAAGCTCGTAGCACTGCTGGTTGGCACCTGGTGTCTCCAAATTAATCTCTGCATGATACAGATTTGTCGGCAGTGCGCCAACAGAAGAGATAGATGAGCCAGGCGGACTCTGAGACTGACTGTCTTCTATTGCCGCCACGGTCTGTCTCTGCACTTGAACCGCTCGCATCTTCTTCTCCAGGCCCTGCAGCTTGACTTCCAAAGCTCGCCAAGCAGCTTCTTTTCCATCAGTGGATTCAATACCCGCTGCCAGTTCATGGATGAAGCCCTCTAGGGAGCGCAGCGCCATTACCGGCAGTTCGTCAGCAGCACCAGGAGTCCCCACTGGAGAATTCGAAGCTATTTTTAACAAAGACGCGAAGTCCTCTTCGAGTTTATCTGCTAGTGAAGCCGCTAGACCCCTGCGCAGAGTTATTTGCCCGTCAAGAGAGGGGCTGTCTGCCTCCTGCAGGGGTAACAAGGACCCAGACCTACGGCGACTCCGCAGCAGCGAGGGCAAATACCCAACGCTGGATATCGGATACAGCAGAAGATCTATTGCTGGGGTGATCAAAATCATCGTATTCCTCGGAACCGGCATCCAGTCTTCCGGGTTAGAAGTAAGAGGCTCACTTGTCACAATGCATATGTCAGTCCTGATGAGAGAAATCTCGCAAGACAAAGCGCGCGATGAATTGCGCATGACTCACAAAAGCGATGGGCAAGTGCTGCAGCTGGCTTGGCACATACAAGAGGAAGAATAATGATCATTCAGCTGTCCAGCTGCCATCCTAAGCCGGTAGGAATGCAAACATGCAAGCGGGAAGGAAGATGCTGTGTGTTTACAACAGGACTTGGCCACAGCCACAACCGTCGGGTGTGAAGTTCCCTTATGGTTAGCGCATTGGGCGCCGGCAAGCCAGCTGTAGCATTTACCTTTTGTCTTTGTGAGTCATGCGAAATTCATCGCATGTTTCCTCCAGCTGCTGCCACGCCGTCCCTGTGGCAAAATAGAGACTGGCTGGCATCGTCGGGCTTGTATTCCCGGATGGGTCTGGCACGATGGCGGACTTCCCCGATTCTGAAGGCAGAACGTCGGCGATTAAGAGCACACAAATCGTGCCAAACCTCCCTCATCTACAATAAATAGTAAGAATCGGTACTCTGGGCACTGTATGGACCTTAAACTGGGCAATACCACTGGGATCTGCGAGAACACCCAAGCCTAGATATCGAAGCAACGAACACCACAGCTTGCCCTTTTTCTAGAAGAGCAGCTCTGTCGTTCGTATGACTAAGAAGTGGGAAGACTCTTGACAAACTCTAGGCTTGTCTGGCGTCTGCGTTAATCGTCGTATGCAAACAGTTAAAGGTTTGCATCTCACCGTAAGCTACTTCTTGAGCATTTGTGACAAATCTTGTGGCAACAATACTTTCTCCATCCGACACAACAATGTTGATTAAGGTTATTTCTTCTATCTTTTCCCTGTCGAGCAACCAGCATATCGTTGCAATCATCTGCTCCACCGCCTCTTTCATCGCAGAATGCGTTGATGGTTCTGTAGGACTATTTGGTAGTAGAGCCAGAAACACCGCGAACAGGCATGCACTGTCAATACAGCTATTCGTTATCGCAAAGGAAAACATCGGATCCGGAAGGAGACTGAGAAGATCCCTGCAGAGATGAGCAGCGGCCACATATGATGCACCGTACGGCCTAAACGGAGGAGAGCCCCCCCCCCCCCCCCCCCCCCCCC